GGTTGTTCAAACTCTGACTGACACTTGAATGGAAGCACAACAGGTTCAAAGCTTTGATCTTGCCAGTGTTCTATACCTATACACTATACAGTATACTTAGAGTCTAATAAATTATCTTCACAAATTTTTAAGTAGCTCAAACGGTTTTATTGTCTTAAATCTTCATACAAGATACGTGCTGGATAGCCTCGAGACATAATCTGTAAATTGTTCTTCATGGCCTCTGGCATTCTGTCACAGAAAAAGAGTACCTTGCGGTTGTTAAAGCAGTAAAACATTATAGAACTCTGCTGTAATGAAGAAAATTTGTAGTTCATAATGATCATCGAGCATTGAAATATATTTTATCAACAAGTGCTTAAGAGATAGGTTAGCTAGATGGCAAATATGTATAAGCAGTTTTGATATGTTTGTCAACCACAAACCTTGCAAGGAACTAGAAGATGGTGATGTAATCTCAAGAATGTGCGTGGATTTTCCTGATGAGATGATAGAGACATTTTGGGGCAATTTGGATGTACAGGATTTGAAAAAAAAAAAAAAAAACAAGAGTATGAAAGGTTCCTAGTAAAAAATGCAGATGTAAAGAGAAAAATTTTACAATCTTACTATGATGATCCTGATTCTGGAGGTCATTATGTTTATTACAAAGTATTAAGTAAAGACATTAAAAATTATATAAGAACTTATGAAATATGCCAAATCGTAAAATTTAAATATCTCAAACCAAATTATACACAATTAGCTTTATGTTCTCAAAACCCTTATAAAAAGGTTCACATTGATTTTGCAGGAAAAGAAAAAAATCAGATTTAAACAGAACTACAAAATCATTTATTGTCATAATAGATGAAGCCACTAGACATATTAGTGTCGAATCAATAAAGAAAACTGGTGAGGCTTAAAAAAACTATTTGAGTAAGCTTTCTTTTTTAAGCCAGATAAAAACAGTTGTCATAGACTGAGCATCTGCGTTGACATCTGGATCATTTAAAGAATGGGCTACCTTGAAAGGGAAAGAACTTATCCACACTTCTCCTTACCATCCGGCAGAAAATGGATTAGCCGAACAAACTGTTAGTGAAATGAAAACGTACATGCAATGTTATAAGGATTTTAGGGGTGATTAAAAAACATGCCTTGAAACCGCCGTGCGACACCATAATTATTCCCATAATGACTTCCTGGAGATATTCACCTAATTACAAATTGTTTGGAAACAGTGCACTTTTAAATGCTGACAAAAAATTTAATATTAAATGGTCTCTAAAAGAATTTCCCAAATCTTTGGAAGAACAGTTGAAATATAAACAAAACATTCAGAAGCAAGTAAATAAAAATAGAAAAATGTTTCCCCAAACGTGAAAGTGAACGATTTTATCTTAGTAAAAAGTCAGAAAATAGGAAAACATTTTGTTGTAAAGGAACCATTTAGAGTAATAGTTACAAAATACATGAAAGGAGTTTTAACTTATGTCCACTACGAAAATGGTCAAAAGGAAGAAGTTGCCCATGCATCAAACCTAAGACTATATCATTACAGGAGTGAGTATTGTAATAGATCATCCTGTGAGAGAATGTCTTGTAGCGGTCTCCAGGGAAATGGATTAGGTTGACTGGTTATGAGAATTGTCATAAGAAATAAATTATTAAAATTGATCTAAGAAAAACCTTATTTCAAGAATGATTTAGAAACCCTCTAAATAATTATCTACAAAAGTTATTCGTTTTCAATTTGCAAACACAATTATTTTGAAAATTGTTATATAGAATCCAATGTACCCAAACAATCCTATCCATATATGCTATAAAATAATTTATAATAGCATCCTCCATAAGTCAATTTTGCAATAACGGAAACTCAGCGCCATATTATTAAGTAAGTATAGGTATACGCATACATCTCGCTTTAGAGTGCAAAGAGTAAACCATAGTTTTTTATGAATAAACCCACGTTTGGCACGATTATTGCCAATGGCCAAGGCCATATCATAAATATCATTAATGAAACACTCTTAATCAATGAATATTTTCACTTACTCCATTCTCAACAACAAAAGTCTAAGCCTACATGCGTTTCGAGCGTATAGATATGAATGAACGTTGCATCATCTGCAGAGGCGTCACTTCGTATTAGTTTTTTTTTTGTGAATGAACTTGTGTGCTAATCTAATTTCTGAAAATATTTGCATATATATATTTGAAATAAGTAAGTGTTAAAAATTAAATTATAGGAAGGATTTGGTGCAGGAAAACTTTGAATTTTATAAAACGGTAAATTCCTAATGCTATATACAGGGTGTCCCATTATTGCGTACCTAATTGTTCAATATTTCAATTTGTGTTATAGACACGCAAGCAAGTTTCAAATTAAATATATATGGATTTAAAAAATACATATTTTAAAAATATTCTTGGATATACAGGGTGTTGCGTTTTTGCCTAGCGACTCAAAATGAGTATTTTTTTAAATAAAATATCCTGTATTTTATTTTATTTTTAGAATGGTTTGGTAATACTGTATTCAACCCTAGAATATTTTTAAAAAACATTGCAGGTTTGCCAAGCAATTATTTTTTTTATAAAATTAGAGAATGATGCAGACCCCAAATTAAATTGTCATAATTTAGGTAAGTTTACACTGATTTCAAAATCGTTTAATATACAGACTTATAAGATATGACTAGTGGTGATAGAACTGGTTTATTTACACAAACTGGTTTGAAACATGTCTTAAATATGGCTAATTTTAAGTTCAATTTACTCAATTTTTTCAAATGGAACCCTATTTATTATTTTAGCATAAAATTAATTATAAATTTACCTACCCAAGGATGCCAACATGTTAGCTAATAACACATATACATCAGTGCATAATTGATCGATAGCTGTTTCATTATTGGAAATACGAAGAAATTGTTAATATAAAAGTTGTATGACCATATTTAACAATTATTTCTAAATATACATGGTGGTCCATAAACGAGGTGATGACGAAACCTATACTTCTTTAAAGCAAAATACCCTGCGGGTAGTTATACATATTTGATATTTTTCACATTGTCAAACAATTTTAAATTACTTTATTCATTTTCTTTGTTGTATATAGGGCAGGAGTTCTCAACCAGTGGGTCGCGACCCCCAGGGGGGGCACGGGACGGGTCTAAGAGGGTCGCGAGGGAAAGTGACAAATAAAAATAAAAACCATTCAGGCCACAGATACCATAAGAGCGGCGGATAATAAATGAAGCAACCATGTATTTATTTAGAACCTGAGTTGAATCCGCTTGTTTAATATCAATTTAAAACACAACTATGATTAACAAAAATGACTTAAATGACTTAACAGCGCCGATAAAAATGATAGTGCCCGCCGCATTGCTTGTATCGTATTGTTGTAAGACAAAAGTTGTTTACTCAGTAAAGACGCACTACACAAAATACATTGCGAAATTAAAAAAAAATACTCCAGCAAAATGATTTAATGAGAAACTTGAGCTTGCTTGGAATTAAGTAATTGTTGAATGTCTGTGTTGATTTTTGTCAAACACAAAATAATATCATTTTCCAGTGCCAAACGATTTCTTGATTTTGTTTTTAAATTTGCCACTTTGGAAAATCCTTTTTCAGAATTGTGAGAAGTAGAGAAAGGTGTCAAAAGCTTCAACGCTACTTTGGTCAATTATGGATGTTCCTTCTTTATACTCAGCCAAAACTTGTCGGGACAAACATTGTCAAAAGTAAGTTTCAATGACTGATCACTTGATATGTGTTCGTGAAACTCACATATTCAATTTAATTTCGCGTAGTAAATCCACATAATAATTTCAAGCCAACCCTGCCTTTTGTCTCTGCAACACCTAACGGTCATTATATTAGTTCATTTATTAAAATCCCTTTAGTTTGTTTAATGTCATTTCTTTTACCTTACTTCTTCCCATAATGCTAAGAGTAACGGGTAGACAGTGATTACTTGAATAGTTTTCTGGACCGATGAGATGGATGCTGGGGTTTGGGCGACGCTTGCGCTGAGCGGCTTCGTCCCCCGATTTTGAAAACGAAGCGAAAACAAAGAAAAGAAAAAAAAGACACCTGTTGTCTTGTTGATCCCTTGTGTTTTAGTCACGCCATGTTGTAAAATTTGTTAATAGATTAAAATTACCCCAGTGGTTTTCACCTCAAGAGTTTATAACAAGAGTTTATAACATTCTTGAAAAGTGCACCCTTGTTCTCAGTTTGTGAATTCCCGGTATATGAAATATTTACCGGCCTCTTTTTGCACCATCCTCATCGGTTATACCCATGCTCAATAAACAAGTGAAAGTTGCAGGGATATGACGGCTATTGGTTTAACATTGAGGAGTTAAGATAAGTACGCTTTTTATTATTTTTCAGTCGATAGCCAAAGGGCTAAGGAGAGCGAATAACCGCGAGATAAAGAGGGTGGAACGGTACCAGACATTTTGTAAACGTGTAGCGTTGTTTGTGCTCGCTGAATTATTTTTTATCCTAGTTTGGTGAACATTTTTGCTTAGTTTTTTTTACCCTTTTTTTTATGTTACATTATATGTGGTCGTGTGCACATGTACTTATTTCTATTTTATTTGCGCTACCCTTCATAGGTATACTAAATCCACTGTTAATTTTCAGATAAGATTATATTTCTGCCATTTGTAGTTTGTTGCGTATCAGTATATATTACAGTTTTGTTGGGTATTTTATGAACAGTGTTTTTTTGCATATAAATTATATAATTGAATAAAGGTTGAATGTATACTTGAGTTGACCAAATATATTTGTATTATTTCATTATTAAACTCCACAAAATTCAAATAAAGCAATCAGGCCTTCAAGATATGATGATATGAGCAATGAGAGAGATGAAGTGTCAATGGATGTGTCACCAATACTTGAGACATACTCTTTAAATTTTTGTGTAAGTTGAAAATTTTCATTCTTTACTCTTGTGTTCCAAAGAGTAAGTTTTTTTACAAATGCATTTACTTGGTCTTGAGCATACATAATAATTGTGTCTGGTCCTTGTAGTAAGCTAAGTAAGCAATCTTTATCAACCATTTTTCATCTCTGAAAAAACGGGAAAGTTCAGGTTTACTGCCCATTAAAAAAAGGAACAGTTCTGATTTCAATGAAAACAGTCTACTCAACACGTTGCCCCGGGGCAGCCATCTCACTTCGGTGTGGAATAGCAAATGTTTGTGCAGGGCTCCTACTTCTTCACACAAGTTTTTAAGTAATCTACTCTGCAATGGGCGACTCTTGATGTAGTTAACTACTTTGATAGCCTCAGCCAAAACTTGTCGCAAGTCATCTGGCATTTCTTTAGCTGCCAAAGCTTGCCTAAGTAAAAAATAATGCACCCAGTTTGCATTTGGTATTAAAGTTTTCAACCTGGCAATTAAACCACTGTTTTTTCCAGAAAGGGCTCTTGCTCCATCACTAGATACAAATTGAAACACATTTGTTCCAATCAATTTCAAAAGATTCATTTTCTTCAATGAACTCTAAAAATACTTTCACCTGTGACATGGGCTGGAAAAGATTTGCAAAACAATAAATTTTCGTTAATAGAGTGACCGCAATCATAATAAAGCACAAGAACTGAGCACAGTTAGCAACGTCAGTTGATTCGTCGCATTGAAACGAAAAAAACGTGCTTTCTTTTATTTGCATCTTTAGCTGATTCTGAACATCTTTAACCATGTCTAATATTCGTCGTGAGATAGTGTCATTTAATAGTGGTATTTTTTTCAGCATATCAGCTTCTTGAGGATTAATCATATTTAAAATCATATCGATTGCGGCAGGAAGAATTAATTCCTCAGCAATGGTATGTGGCTTCCCCACTTTAGCAATCTTGAGTGCTACCTCGTACGAAGCTTTAAGAGCATTTTTGCTAACATCAGCAAGACCTTTAATATTTACTTATTGACTTTGAAGGGACAGCAGTTTTCTCTGGAAAAACTCGATTGGTTTGTTTTTCAGCGCCAAATGTTTAGTTTCACGATGACGCTTCATTTTTGAAGGTTTCATGATTTCAGCTGATAACACTTCACTACAAATAACACACTGATGTTTGTTTTTAAGTTCAGTAAAACCAAACTGTAGATATGAATTATCGTACTTTCGGCATTTTGGTTTTGATACTTCGAAATTCTCATTACTTTTGCTACATGAAGAATCTCTTTTCAAAAACTAAATGTTACCGGTGGTAAAATTTAAAATTGTTTCGAAACAACAACAAATTAAAAATGCTACAATCTTTTATGCCATTTCATAAGTAAAAATATACGAAAATTGGGTAAAAACCTCGCCGATGGCAATTCTGTTGCCGTAAATTCTTATCAAATTTAGTCGTTTTCTTTTGTTTTAATGAGACTTAAAACACCGGAAACAACTGCCATCCACCGTGATTCGACCTTTTTAACATTTTAATCTACCGTATCGAACGATTCGCACCCTACAGAGCTCTACTTACTTAGTCTTACAATCTAGAAAATGAAATATATTCTGAATGAAAAGTAAGACTAGAGTTACAAGCGATTAAAAATTCAAGATAATACTTCCTTATTTTAAATAAGCATTTAAAAGAACTTAATCATTTGAAGAAGACATTAACAGCTACAAAAAAATATTTAAACATGCTATAAATCTTTTTTTTTTATTCAATACGAATCAATAATACGAAGTTTAGTTGTTCCGTGCTCGCAAATACACAAACCATATAATTTCGGTTAATATTTCATAATATAACTAGAACCTATAATTTAAATTATAATAGACACTTAGGCATTCAAAATAAGATACAATCAGTGACGGCGCCAAAAATGATTAATAGAGAAAACGTATTTTATTGGTATTGAATAAATTATATGTGTTTTTAAGACAAAAAATAATTATTGGACAAGCATAGACAGGTATTATATGCCCGGGTTACGATCAGTTGAAATATCAGAATATAAAAGAAAAACCAATTTGAACGAATGAAACAAAAGAAATACTGGTAGATAGAGAAGCACTGAATCGTGTACTTCTGTTGTCAGCCTTCTGCAATTATTATCATATTTGTAAAGTTTGACTCAGAGGCGTTCGTTCCATGGAAGCAGGGGAAATACTGCTTTCCTACACTTTGAGATTTAAAAATAAATATTTGTCAGTTTACAATGCATAGAAATTAATACTAAATTAGGTACTATATTTTCTCTGAAACATTACGCAAACTTCGTAAATGTACTAACAATTCATTGGTGTAATGTGTAAACGCACGCACCACCAATGAGAAAATTAATTGTATAAACCACATACCATATACTTCGAGTCCGTCGGCGGAAGCGCGTCTTAAAAAAGCCTGCTCATCTTCCAATTGATTTTGCTTCGTGTTATTGACCCCGCTTTGCCGCGACAGAGTCAGTCTGTTTGGACACATGAAATATGGTCGAGAGGCAGCGATTTTTACGTCGCCTTACGCATATTGCAATTCGCTATGCAAATCGACATGTAAGGAAAATCGTAGACTTCAGATAGATTTCGGTTTGTTTTTCGTAGTTGTTTTTCTTTTTGTAAAATCGAGGAACTATAAACTGTGCCTGTGAACAATAAGAATGTGGTAAATTCTGTCTGTATTGTGTGCTCTTTATTGAAAAAAGGATTTTCAAGTGGAAATTTTGAAGAGAAAACGGACATTATTAATTCTAGTATACTAAAGGATCCTATCAATTTAGAGACGAAAGTAGAAAATTCAGCAAAGAAATTTACCAGGCATTTTCAAAAAAGATTTTTAAAGTTAATTACGGGAGAACATTTTAGATATGCTTCAGACAGTTTATATTCTGAAACTAAAGTACTAGACCTAAGACAACTATTTCATTTTCACACCAACATCAAATATCATTTTAATACTAAGAAATCCTCTAGTCATAAATACAGCTATAATACGCGTAATAATAAAAAACTTACTTATCCAGTAATACTAAAAAAGTCAATTTCACAACGAGCTTACTCTTATATTGCTGTAAAATTCTATAATTCTATTCCTGAACTATTAAAAATAATAAATAATACATCCATGTTTAAAAAAAAACTATAATTATTTATTTTAGATAGGCCAAGATTATTTACATTAGATATTTTAGAAGAAACTAAATAATACAAATACAATTATTAATAATAGTAAAATAATAAACAAAATATAATAATTAAAATACATACAAAAAAATTAAAGTTAAAATTATCAATACTTACTGGATTAACACTAATACATGGATTTGACACACTACTGGACTTGACACATAACCCGACTTGACACATTACTATCTAAATTAGAAAAACCCATAATAATATATACCAAGTCACGACAGACTAATATATAATATATTATATATTATTTTTTTCTCGTTCTTTTTTGATTTAAATTATTCCCAAATTGTAAATTGTATATTATTTTATTTTAAATGTGTAGTATATTATTGTATATGTATGTATTTATGTATACAGAGCGGACCGGATTTAATTTGCGTATACAGAGATCTCGTAAACCGTAAGATATACATTGTCGGTTAAATGGGGAAAAAGATTCGTATTTTGACAGATAATACTATGGTCCATGGAAGTTCCAGATTTTCTGATTGGTTCCGGAGATATTCGATAAAATCCGAAAAACTTCATTTTCCATTTTTAAGTCGTGCGTTATTATTATAAAAGATACAAAAAAAAATTATTCGAAGTTTTTGTTATAAATGCAGTTCCCTATAATATGCCATGTCAAAATTTTTATTACGACGTTTCGTATTTACAGCGCTACCTTCAACTTATTTTTTTAAATACGAAACTGGATTTTTAACTGTAATTTTTTATAGCTTTTGTATATCTAAATATAACGATACGTTACACTTTACCATTTGACTACGTTTCCTCTATAAAAATATCATCAGCTATGTAGCTTCTGACGATACCGTTTCTTACTAGATTAAAGTAAGATAGCTAATTAAATAAAAATTAAAAAACAAAAAATGCTTAAAATGTGAAATTTTAAATATTATTTGAAACATAATACAAGAATTATTTAATTACAAAATAGGTTACAATTTTTTATCAAACATGATTAAGTACAACCAGCAAACAAGACTAATGAAGAACGAGTTATGTTTGTACACATTCTACAAATAATAAAGCTAATAATAAAAACAAAAACGGAAAAACAAAACGGTCAAGCAATATATAAATTCCTATCACCTGATCTTCTGTAAAATCTTTCGCTTAGGTTTCTCACACCGTATTTTTTCTATCTTTAATGTTTTAATTTTTGCATACATAAGATCTTAACAAAATCATGTTTGCCATGCATGTCAGTTGTAACTTATCACCAATATTTCTGTTATAATCTGTAACATCTAATATTACAGTACTTTTTTAGCTTTAAATAATTTAAAATTAAATAAATATTATTGTTCGTTATATTGAAGAAGAGACGAAAGATATGTATGATGGGTACATAAGATGCTATAGGAATGAAATCCGGTCAGCTTAAACTTATTTAGATTTATATCCTAAAAGACAACAGCCATCTAAGAGGATGTTTTCTTATATTTCAAAAAATATGGCAGAGCATAGCAATGTGAAAAAAAGAAGAACTAGATATCAGGTTCGACATACTGATAATGAAATTAATGTTCTTGCCCAAATACATATTAACCCTAAAAATTCTACTAGGCGAATAGCTAAAGAATGTGTTGTAGGAACATCCACGGTTTAAAGAAACATAAATACCCCGGGTATAAATTTCAAAAAGTCCAGAAATTACACGCTGGAGACTCTGATAGAAGACTGATGTTTTGTCGTTGGTATAGTAGAAAACTGCGCAATGACCGTTCTTTCAACAAAAAGATATTATGGACGGATGAATGCGCCTTTACTAATAGTGGAATATTTAATCCCAGGAACAAGCATTTGTATGCTACTTCTAATCCCCATTTAATCAGAGAAGTTAGACCATAGTTTCGTTTTACCCAAAATGTGTGGTGTGGACTAATTAATAATTAGATTATTGGGCCGATTTTTTTGGATGGTAATTTAAATCAGTTCCGATACCTACATTTATTGGAGAAAGTACTCGATGAGATGCCCTTACAAACAAGACAAAATCTTCAATACTTTGTGCAAGACGGTTGTGGTTCACACAATGCTAGGAGGGTGGCAGAGTATCTTGATCAATATTTTAGAGGTAATTGGATTGGTACCAATGGACCAATAAGATGGCCTCCTCGATCTCCGTGTCTTAACCCCATGGATTATTTTGTATGGGGCTTCGTAAAGAACCAAATCTACGACAAAAATATGCCAAATAATCTACAAGAACTTCGTCAACGAATAGTAGATGCATTTGAAAAAATTACACCAGAAATGGTTGATAAAACTACATCCCAAATGTCTAGTAGAATTGCACTCTGTATCCAACAGAATGGACTACATTTTGAGCAACTATTGTGACTGT